TCTGCAGAGCCTGTGTCCCCCCAGCAGTGCTCCTTGTGATGCCACAGCAGTCACAAAGTAGATCAAACACCCTCTAAACCCTGGCTTGATATCCCTTGAACTAAATTCCTGCCCTGCCTGAACGTTCCCCTAAATGGGGTTAGCACTCATGGCTTATGGGGAGCTAAGAAAGATGAGCAGCTTTGCAGTAGCTGAGTAAACAGCTCTGGGCAGCCCGGGCTCCCTCCCCTGCCATCCCTGCTCCCTGCTCTGCCCTGCCACCCCTGCTCCCTCCCCTGCCATCCCTGCTCCCTGCCCTCCCTGCCCTGCCCTGCCACCCCTGCTCCCTCCCCTGCCATCCCTGCTCCCTGCCGTCCATGCCCTGCCCTGTTCCCTCCCCCACCATCCCGGCTCCCTGCCCTGCCGGGCCAGCCCGGGCTCATCTCACCCAGGGAATTGTCCAACCCATGTGCTTTCAGGGAATCATTAAGGTTGGAAAAAAATCTCCAAGATCAAGTCCAACCTTTGACCAAACACCACTGTGCCCACTAAGCCATACCAGCAAGTACCACATGCAGTGTTTTTTGGCCTCTCCCAGGGATGGTGACTCCAGCACTGCACCAGGTGCCTGGTGACACCAGTGCTAGCAGGGGTGATGAGGGTGAGAGCCTCGGGCTATCCTGGCTCACCTGACCCTGGTCCATGTGTTACCTGTTTCACCTCCCACTTCTCTGGGTGCTGCAGCCATGGGGTAACACCACAGTGCTGTGTGTAGCAGGAATTTGGCCAGCACCTCTCTGACAAGGGCAACAATAGAACACCTGGACAAGTGAGTCATTCCCTCACATCCCAAGCCTAGAGCTTTGGGAAACCTCAGTGAAAGTTACAGGATTGTTTGTGCCTGCCAGCCTGTCCTTGATACTGTTAGTGGAAGGGCCCAGATTATTTGTGTGTTTCAAGATCCTTCTGAGGCTCTGCAGATGACAGTCTGTCCTCGTGGTGAATGCAGTGGTGACTCAGCACTAGGGAGGGAGGGAAGATGACCTTAGGAAAAGCTTTTCACCCCCGTGCTCTGGAGATGTCCAGGAAAGGAAAGAAGATTGAGTGGGGAAGAAATATTAGCCCTTGGCAGAAAGAGGCTTTAGAAGGAGCCCAAAGCTTAATGCCAGGGGGATGCCTCAGGTTTTAGCTTTTCTGTTTTTCAGATTCTGTGCTGCTTCAGTGTGCACTTCTGAGCTTCACATTAGGGGATGGTAAGCTCTCTTCACAGAGGAGGGAGACAAAACAATTCCTTCTCTAGCTGGGGACCAAGGACAAATGATCCATATCTCAGGCCAAAGAGCATAAACAATGTGGGCTGAAGAGAGAAAAACAAGGAGGATGGGACTGCATGGGCTGGGGCTGTAATTGGACAATTAACTGCAATATGCACATGGAGCAGAACTTATCAAAGTGAGAGACCCCGTGAGCGGTTGTGTATTTTGTGACCATTTTGGTTCATCTTGGGTGTAGCCCTGGCTGGGCTCTTGTGCTGCCCAAGGTGGATCCATTGAGGCCTTTTAATAAATCCCTGCTTTATTCTTTAGCTCTGTCCAGCCTCTGTTCTAGGGCAGCCTTCACAGGGCATCAAGGAGAGGGCTGTAAAGTCTGGGGTCTGGGCACACAGCAGCCTCAGGCCTTGATCCCAGCTCTTTCTGCAGCTGGAGCTGCAGGAGTTTCCTTCCTGCCCTTCCCGGGTCAGGGGTTGCAAGAGGAGAAGAACAACCCTGGACTCTGGCAGGTGTGGAAGTGACAATTCCAGCAGCAGAACAGAGTCAGCCCTGCAGCAGCAGCAGCAGCTACAGTAGAAGCAGCCCCTCCCCTGCTGCAGGTGAGCCCTCAAAGCCTTCTGTGGCCTGTTAAAGCTTGGAGGACAGGGGCAGGGAGGGCTGTCATGGGAATCTTCATTAAAAGCTCTGTGTTGATGAAGCAAACAAGCTCTGAATGTGCCACCAGTTCCCCAGGGAAGCAAGCCTTGTCTCTGGGAGTGTGATTAAACTAGAGCCTTGTTCCAGTAGTATTTGCTCACCCTCCTGTTGACCCTCCCAGGCCTCTCCCTGCTGTGGTCCCACTTCCCAGGACCTGCTCACATCACCTTGGATGCTCCCCAGGGGATACCTTTGGCTGCCCACCCAGCCAGGGCAGCTCAGTGGTTGTTGGGGCAGCCACTGTCCCCCCTGATCTGTCCCTCAGCTCTGGGTTTGATGTCCCAGTGGCTGCTGCTGCAGTCTGACAGCTACAGCCCCTCAAGCAGAAAAATGTGTCACTCCAGAGCTGTGGGGCCTTTCCACAGGACACCAAGCCCTACACTTTCCTTGTTCTTCTGCTCTCTGATCCTTCAGGGAGCTTGTTTAGCTCACCAAGTTCTCCCTCCCCCCCCATGCTCCTGAGCTTTCTGCTGTTCCTGACTGAGAATGGCAGGAGCAGGATTAGACTGGGATGCTCTGACCCTTCTGACAGCAGCTCAGCCAATGGATGAAGGCAAATTTTTATCAGCACGTGCTTGTTTTTGTGAACATTAATCATAGAAAACCCTACTGGATGAAGAACTCTGACAGAAACTTTTTTTATATAATCTCATGTAGTCAAATACTCTCCTGTCCTTTTCCTTGCCCTAGAGCCTTGGTCTCTGCCCTCAGCACAGCCTCTCTGGAAGATGAGTTTTTTCCCACTGGCAGAGAGCAGGGCTGGATGGGATATTGGGAAGGAATTCCTCCCTGGCAGGGTGGGCAGGCCCTGGCACAGGGTGCCCAGAGCAGCTGTGGCTGCCCTGGATCCCTGGCAGTGCCCAAGGCCAGGTTGGACATTGGGGCTTGGAGCAGCCTGGGACAATGGAAGGTGTCCCTGGACATGGCAGGGAGGGGGATAAGATGCACTTTAAGGTCCTTTCCAACCCAAACCATCCCAGGATTTTATGAAGTGGCCTTACAGCTCTCTCTGGAAAGACAGCACACAACTGAGTGTGTGCAAGGTCTGCTCCCAAGAGATAGATATTTGTTTGTTCTGAGCTTTATCTCCCCCATCCTGATACGTTTGGATGAAGGCTGTCATGGATCCTCACTGTAACAATGGGACTGAGTCCTGCAGGGAAGATTGGGGTCTTCTAGAGCATCTGTCCTAACTGTTCCCTCCTCTTCTGTGCCTATGGAGAATGCAGCACAAAAGGTGACAAGTGACACCCTCTTGAGCATCCCAGTGACATGGGACATCAGTGGCAAAGACCACTGTGCTGGGACACATCTCTAAGCCCAGCCCTGTCCTGCTCCCCACAGAGGGACTGTGGCTAGTGTTGGTCACTCCTTTTATCTGCCAGTGCTTGGCTGTGGCTGAGCTGCAGCTGGGAGCCCAGCCAGGGGAAGCAGCTGATTCTCCTTCAGAACAGAGACTTGCACATCAATAAATGTCTCGTTACAAATGCTTTCTTCAGCCTCTTGGTTCTCATTTCCTCTTTCAGCTTCCCCAGCTTTCTCTCCTGCTGGCTGGAAAGCTGCCTGTCTCCTGTGGGAGCTGAGGAGTGTTGGAACAGGGGCTGCTGTAGCTCTGTCCTTGCAGGTGAGGTGCTGGACAAGCCATGTATTTTCTTCAGTGTGTCCTGACCTTCCATATCCTACTCTGGCTCTTTGTGGGATGTTTCTGTAGATCCTGCTATGGCTTCCAAGGACATGTGGGTCCTGTTTTCACTTTGGAAAACATCTGCCAACTGTCAAAACCAGCTGAGAGGAGAGGAACCACTTCCTTGGAGTAACACAGCTCAGGGCAGGGCAGTTTGTTCACTGAACTCCCAACATGAGAAAATGCTGAATAAGCTCCAGAAAATCCACGGGAAATGGTAGGTTAGGATGGGATTCTCTTTTCCCAAAGCAAATGCTCCATCATTACTCAGAAATAGCCACAGCCAGGATGGGGGCAGGTCAGGGCTCCCCCAGTGCCTGCTGAGGTTTGGGATTGTTCACTGGGGCTTTCTCCAGTGACACAGAACCCCTGGACTTGTTCCCACAGCCCTGGAGCAAGCAGTGCTGCAGGAGCAGGAAAGCCCCTCCCTGCTCTGCCTGCAGCTGCTGCTGCTTGAGTCAGTTCCTGGGGAAGAGCAAACCAGCAAGGCAGCTTGTTCTGGCTGCAGGACCAGTACAGGGCATGGACAGAGCCTGACCTACTGCAGAAAAGTTCTCAAAGCCTGGCCCCAGAGTAGCAAGGGCCATCTTTGCTTCAGGATTTGGGAATGAGCTCAGCAGGGAAGAAGTGCACATGGTGCAAGAAGTTTTACCTGAGCCTGTGGGGGGGTCTGTGATGGGAGCAGAAGAGAAGGCAGCAGCTGGAACGTGTTGGAAGGAAACCCACAGAGAGAACTGGTTAAAAGCCATTTCCCACCCACACCTCAGCCCTGGTCCACTTTCCAATGCCCTTTGCAAGACCAACAGCACCAGCTCAGCCCTGACTCCTCAATCAACCAGAGATCTCAAAGGCTGGGGAAAAGCCCATGGGCTGATTCCAGGCCCTGCAGGGACTGGCCTGGGTTGGCACCAGCCCTGTGGGAGCACAGAGCCCATTCCCTGGCAGTGGCATCAGGCCACAGCACAGTAAGTCACTTGTCCAGATGCTAATCCAGCATTTCCCCTCAGCAGGACCACAGAGTTTTGGAGGGACTGCTCTGATTGCCAGGCTCTGGGGTGGGGGTTTGGGGTGTTTTTCCCAGCATGTCCTGCCAGAGGACAGGTACTATAACCCCTGCAGCCTCCCTTCCAGTGCACAGCCACGGGCATCAGCCTGACTCCACTGAACATCCCCCCAGCCAGACTTCTGCTTCAGTGGGAAGCACAAGAGCCCTGCACAGGGCAGAGACAAGGGCATCTCTGCTGCCTTCACCTCCTCCAGCTCTCACACACAACTGCTGCACCCAAAACCTCCCCTCCATGCTGCTGCCCAGGCTAGTTTTGACAAGCACCTGCAGCCTCCTGCCTTCAGGGGCCCCACGAGGAACAACAGACAGCTTCTACGTTTATTGTTACAGTTTAACACAGTCTTGGACAGAGGAGAAGCAGCAGAAACCAACATGCAAAGCAATTAAAAGTCCCCAGGGGCTCGAGGACCACCAGCCACAGCTCAGCTCCTGTACCTGCTCCCAGCAGTGTCTCTGGGGGCCCTTTCCCTGCAGCTGCTGCTCCATTGTGCCCCAGAGTGGCACGAGGTCATGGCAGACACCAAACCTACACACACACAGGGGAGAGGAATGGCCTGGGACTGTGGCGCAGTGAGTCAGGTCCTGTATCTGACTGGAATCCAGCACACTCCAACCAGGAGACTGCCTGAACATCCTGAGTTGGAAGGGAGCCATGAAGATTATCAAGTCCAACTCCTGTCATCAAGCCAAATTTCTTAAACATTGTCTGTGCCAACAGGGAGACGAGAGATCCTTCAGGAAGAGGTGCTGGCTTCCATAGCAAGTCAGGAGATGAAGCTCAGCTGTTTCACCACAAATTTCTCGTGTCAGAACTGGCATCTCTTGGAGCAGCAGCTCTTCTAAATGCCTGTGATGGATGTCGAGGCCAAAGATTTCCACAGCACTGAAGAAATCTTTGTCAACACACAGAAATGGATGTCCCCAGAAGGAAGAGGTGCATCAGGCTTGACTGGCCCCTGCAGACAACACAACAAACCCCCACCCAGGTGGTGCGCAGAGCCATTATGTCCTCCTGCACCTCTTCCTTTGGCAGGCCTCCGCATCCGAGCCGCACGAGCTGTCCGAGTCGCTCCCCGAGGACGAGGAGGAGGAAGGCTTCGATGTGCTATAGTTCATGCTCAAGACCCAGCCCAGTTTGTTGTGCAGCACCTGCTTGAGTCCCGGGGGCAGGGGCAGCACCTCCAGCGTGTCCACATAGTCGGGCAGGAGCTGGCGCAGGCGGAAGCAGCACAGGTACTGCAGGGACGTGCGGCTGGCGCAGGACCGGATCACCTTCATGCTGCTCTTGGCCGCCGTCGAGCACACCATGGGGTAAAACTTCTTGTTCTGCAGCTTTGTGGCTGCCACCCCTGCCAGGGCACAGCACCAGGGAGGGCACGTTAGTTTATACAGAGGGATCTCCCCCCTCCCCCCAACCCATTAACTGCAAAGCTATTGGGAAAAGCTTTCCAAAATCCCAATCTATTAAACAAGAAATGTGACCTTCCTCCCACTCACTTCACACCTTGGTCTTCTGCTTTGCCAGTGTTTCCTGCTGCAGCCAGACTCGAGTTGCTCCCACCCCATCCCTGGCTCTCACCTATGCACTTGCGGTTCTTGAAGAACGTCAGCGTCCCGTGCCACGTGTCCAAATGCACCCCAATAATGGAGCCTTGGCCAAACCTTGAGGAGAAGTTTGTTTTGTCCCCCTTGTGATGCAGCAGTCCTGAAAACACACCCAAAAAATGGCATTCTGTGGAAAACCTGCACTCCAGAAATTCACCCCAACTCCCATGCTGCTGGTACGGCCTCGCTCAGTGCCAAAAACATCCCTGCATTTCTGACCCCTGCCCTCCCATCCCAGAGTGGCTGGTGGAAAGGCAAAAGTGAGGTTTTACAACTCCAAAGCACAGGCAGCAGCACTGAAACCCCAAAGTGCTGATGTGACAGAAGTACCCTGGTGCCCTGGCAGAGTCCCACACCAGGTCTAATGGCTCTGCAACAAGTGGGTCAGGAGAGACGCTCCAAGGGCTGTGAGCTGCCAGCAGCTGCTCTGGTGTCCTTAACAAAGGGATTCACAGGCCTGGTGGCACCTCTTGTGCCACTGCTGTCCACCCAGCCACCCCAGCCATGTTACCTGTGTAGGAGAGTCCCCAGCTGTCCTCATCCTTGCCCAGCAGGCTGCAGAAGGTGTGGCGGTACTTGTCCAGGTTCACATCTGATGTCCCAATCCCGACCATCTGGGAGGCCGAACACTAACTCAGTGCCTTTTCAAGCAACAATACACAACCAAGATTTCACCTCCAGTTCTTCCCTCCTATTTTTGTCTCAGCCCAAAGCACCCAGAGGGGTTGCTGAAGCCAAGACAGAGGTTTCAGGATGGAACTAAAGACTCCCAGCTCTGATTTCCTTTCCTAAGTGAGGAGGTGCAGCTAAAATGCTGGAAGAGGTCACTGTCGTGTTCACAGAGTCACAGAATGGTATGAATTGGAAGAGACCTTAAAGCTCATCCCATCCCACCCCCTGCCATGGCAGGGACACCTTCCACTGTCCCAGGCTGCTCCAAGCCCCATCCAGCCCAGCCTTGGACACTGCCAGGGATCCAGGGCCTGCCCACCCTGCCAGGGAACAATTCCTTCCCAATATCCCATCCAGCCCTGCCCTCTGGCAGTGGGAAGCCATTCCCTGGGTCCTGTCCCTCCATGCCTTGTCCCCAGTCCCTCTGCAGCTCTCCTGGAGCCCCTTTAGGCCCTGCAAGGGGCTCTGAGGTGTCCCTGGAGCCTTCTCTTCTGCAGGTGAGCACCCCCAGCTCTGCCAGCCTGGCTCCAGAGCAGAGGGGCTCCAGCCCTTGGAGCATCTCCATGGGCTCCCCTGGACTCTCTCCAGCAGCTCCAGGTCCTTCCTGTGCCAGGCCACAGATCTGGAGGCAGCTCTGCAGGTGGGGTCTCACCTGAGGGGGCAGAGGGGCAGAATCCCCCCCTCCTGCTGCCCACGCTGGGGCTCAGCCCAGCCCAGGGGTTTCTGGGTGCTCATGGCCAGGCCATGTCCAGTTCTTATCCTCCAACACTCCAAGTCCTTCTCCCAGGGCTGCTCTTGCTCATCTCTGCCCAGCCTGGATTGGTGCTTGGGATTGCCCTGACCCAGGTGCAGCACTGCCACTTGGGTCTTGTTCAACTTTTTTCCCATGGCCCCACCTCTCCAGCCTGTCCAGGTCCCTCTGGATGCCACATCCTTCCACTCCAGGCTGTCACCTCCCCACACAGCTGGGTGTCAGCTCCAGGCTGGCTGGGGATGCCCTGATCCCACTGTCCATGTCCCCAGCAGAGATGTAAAACAACACCGGTCCCAGTGCCAGCCCCTGAGCAATGTCACTTGTCACTGGTCTCTGTCGACTCCCAACTCTTTGCATGTGATCATCCAGACAATTCCATATCCACCAAGTGGTCCCTCTGTCAAATCCATGTCTCTCCAGGTTAGAGACAAGGATGCAAAGCCAGGCAGCAATGCTTTGCACAAGTTCAGGTAGATGAGATCAGTTCCTATTCCCTCCTCCACCAACACTGCAACCCCATCACAGAAGGGCACTGAATCCCTTAGTGAAGCCATGGTGGATGTCATCAATCACATCCACTTTTTCCATGTGCCTTTTCATTGCTTCCAAAAGGATCTGCTCCATGTTTGCCAGGCCCAGAAGTGAGACTGGTCAGCCTGTACTTCCCCAGATGGTTCTTATTTCCCTTTCTAAAAATGGGGGTTATGTTTCCTCTTTTCCTATAAACTGGGAACTTCACCAGACTCCCACAGCTTCTCTAACACAGCAGATAGTGGCTAAGCCACTTCATCCAACAGTTCCCTCAAATCTCAGGGACTCATCTCATCAGCTCCCCATGGACTTGTGCACTTCCAGACAGCCTCAAACCTCATCTGCCACGGTGGAACCTCATCCTGCCAGCCCCTGTCCAAAATCCTGGGCATTTCTGTGTGCCCCACACGTACCATGTCAGTGCCATACACCGGGGAGGTCATCTTGATCTCCCAGAAGTGCTGGCCCTCTGCCAGCTCCTTGTTGCCACGGATGGCGGCCGTGCCACAGCTGTACTCCATGTGGAAGTTCACCTTGCGGTTGTCACACGTCAGCAGCGTGGCCGTTGACTTGTTCAGGTCATCCCACACCCAGTCAAAATCTGTTGAGGAAGCACAGAGGGGACAAGGATGGGCAAAGACCCTCAGGGAACAAGTCCCAAGCCAAAGCACAGACAGATGTTTGTTTTGAAGGCCTGTCAGTGGGTTTGTTTCTATTTCTCTTATTGTTTAAGAGGATAAATCTTAAGCTGTGCACATCAGAGAACTGCTTGAGGCCTGAACTACTCTGCAGTGTCCCAGCAGGGATGGATCAGTGCTCCAAAGCTGTCAGCATTCACTGGGCCAAATTTTGGCTGGCACCAGGCAGAGCCTCCCTTCTCCCCACACTCCTCATGGGATCAAGGGGTGACTCTGCCCTGCCACAGGCTCTCCCCCCAGCCCAAGCCCACCCTGTGCTCAGAGCCAGGCACCCTGCCAGCCCCTGCAAGGATCAGGAGGGCCCTAAGCACCGGCTCTGTTTCACTGGGGCCTAAGCCGGATCAGAAAGCAGGTCCCAGGGGTGAGCGCCGATGCCGTAACAGCATCGGCCCTGACCCTGGAAACACGACAGCAGGCAGGGGCTGGTAATCCTCCTGTGCCTCAGGATGTAAACAAAGGAATGCTGGGACGGGCACAGGACACTGCAGGGGGCCCCATCCCGAGCCCCTTACACTCATCCTCCTCGCCGCAGCGGCAGTCGCGGACGCGGTGCAGGGCGTGCAGGCTGGAGCAGTAGGGAGCTTCACTCTGGTTCTCACAGTTGCAGTAGGACTCTCCAGTCACAGGGATGGCACTTGGGATGGAGGGAGACAGGGAGGAGAACTCTGGCTCCGAATCAGAGTCGCTGTGCTGCTGGGGAAAACAGGAATGCTCACTGCTGGGCACCTCTGGGCACGGGAGCTGGGCTGGCAGAGCTCCCTGAGGGCTCTGCTGGGACATCCCCAGGCTCGTGTCACACAGGGAGGCTGTGCCCATGGAATTGCCCTGCCCTGGGACATGGATAGTGCCTGCTGAGCTGCAGGGACCTCTCAGCACTCTGCAGTGCAGGTATGTTCGGTGTGCCTGCCAGGGACATGGAGCTGTCACAGCAGGGTGACAGCCCAAGTGTGGAACACACACATTCTGAAGGAAATTCTGTGCTAAAGCTTTGGCTTTCACCAGGCAGGTTCCAGCCACAGCAGAGCCAAGCACTGCTCTGGAGAGGCTGTGAAGAGGCTGGGAAGCACAGGAGGAGAAGGGAGAGGGGGCAGAACAAAGGGAGCCAGTTGAGCTGCCCGGATGCAGCCCCTCAGGGCAGCGCTGCAGACAGCCCACGGGGAACCCAGGGCAGGATTAAAGGGCTTTTGTTTACTTTCATGAACACAAAAACCTGATTTACTGTTCCCCAGTGCCAAGAGACCAAAGTGATCCCGGACTGGACATGGTGAGAGTCACAGCCCAGTTTCACTCCTGTGTTATGGTGTTGCCCAAGGGATTCTCTTATCACTGGTTGCAGAGTTACTCCAGGTTTACGTGCTGCTCAGGTGTACCTGCTTGTTATTCACCCCTATGGTCTGGGGTATTTAATGACAAAAATCCTTTAAATTCATGTTCTTGCAGCTGTAAGACAGGAATTGAAACTACTTAGGCTTACACAGGTACTGCCCAGGCCTCCTTCTCCGACCTGCAGACCCAAGAGCTTGGGTTCTGTCTTTCCTAACTTCTAACTTTCCCAACTACTGCTGCCTAGAAATCCTGTCATTCCCCTGGCTACAGAGACAGAAAACTGCTCATCTTCTGGGAGCACAGTGCCTGGGTTTGGACACTGTGCTCTAGCAGAGCCTCCTGGCTTCAGTGTATGCTCTGGAGCTCCTGGAGCAGCTCCTTGAGTCCCCACCACTGCACAGGGAACTCAACTCACACACTCAAGAATTAGGAAAATGGGGAAGGATGGCAGAAGCAAATCAGTCACTCCTTGCACTGTTTTACTCTTGCTCTCCCTGCTGTGTTCCCATCCCCAGCACACCTGGACCAGGTTCAGAAGTGAGGGTCATGCTGCAGAGCAGGAAATGTGAGGAAATTTCAGTCTGAAGACACTGCCCTGCAATCTCCACCACCATCTCCAAGCCCCTCATAGCCCAGGAGGGAGCACAGCCAGTCAGATTAGGGAACTGATCCACTTCAAACACTTATCTAGAGCTCCGCTTCCAAAAACAAATTTATAAAAATATTGTATGCACTTTATGTATGACACACCCATTAGATGCTTGAAAAAGCATTTCGTTTAGCATCAATATTGACCATTACTAAACTCTTCCTACTTTGGGCCAGTTCACACCTGATATCAGGGACAGGAAACATCCCCTGTTGTCACAGACGTATTTTATGAAAAATCCTTTTGCCAGGATCTTTTCTCCTGAGAAGCTGGGGAGCTTCAGCTTCTCCATGTTTTGCTGCTTTGGAATACGATTTGGAGAACTGTTTACCCAGCGTGTGAAATTGTTTTTACTTGATGACCAATGACAGCCACCTGTGTTGAGGTTGTGAGCAACCACAAGATTTTGTTATTCATTCCTTTCTATTGCTTTCCAGCCTTCCGATGGATCCTTTATTCTTTTTAGTACAGTTTTAATACAGCATTTTAATATAATATAATATCATAATACAATAATCAGCCTTCTGAAACACGGAGTCAAGATTCTCATCTCTTCCCCAGTCCTGGGACCCTCGAGCACAGCCATCCCCTGTGGCACCAGACCCCCAGCCCAGCCTACCTGGCCGTCGGAGTCGCAGCCCCGGCCCCGCGCGCCGTTCCGGCCGTCGGCCTCGCGCCGCACCCCGCTCAGGACGAAGTGCCAGGCCCGGCTGCTGCGCGGGCGCCGCGCCATGCCGCCCCCGCGCAGGTAGGCTGCGGAAGGAACACCGGCTGACGCGTCTGCCGCCTCCTCGGGTCACCGCGCACCCCGGGGGACCGGCACAAGGAGTTCCACGCGCGTCAAGAGCCTCTGCAAACTTCAACCGCTTTCTCCACCCAGGGTCAACTTCTCCCCGAGCCAGGCGTGGATCTGGCCCGAGGAACGCTCCCAGTATCCAGCTGTGGTGGCAGCAGCTGCCCCTCTGCAGGAACTGCCTCCGGCAGCCACCTCTCACCTGGCCTGGGGAGCTTCAGGGCTGTCAGAATCCCAGAGTCCTTTGGGTTGGAAGGACCTTCAAGCTCATCTCGTTCCACACCCCGCCATGGGCAGGAACAGCTTCCACTAGAGCAGGCTGCTCCAAGACACAGCCTCCCTGGTGCCCGGTGACCCTCCAGCAGCTGTCCTGGCTCTGGCCACCTGCACTACCCCAGCCCCCTGCAGCCCAGCTGTCTCCATCTGCAACTGCCCTCTGATGGAAGACTTGGCTCTCAATGCTTGGAGAGGAAGAGAAACCACTTTCCTGCCCACTGGAAGGAAACCAGGGTTGTGATAGACCTGTCCCCAGTTGCCTCAAGGACAACAGGCAGAAGGGAAGTGATGCCTCAGGTTTTAGCTTTTCTGTTGTTCAGATTCTGTGCTGCTTCAGTGTGCACTTCTGAGCCTCACATTAGGGGATGGTGAGCTCTCTTCACAGAGTATGGAGACAAAACAATTCCTTCTCTAGCTGGGGACCAAGGACAAATGACCCAAATCTCAGCCCAGGAGCACAAACAACGTGGGCTGAAGAGAGAAAAACAAGCAGGATGGAAATTCATGGGCTAAAGCTGTAATTGGACAATTAACTGCAATCTGCACTTGGAGCAGAACTTCTCAAAGTGAGAGACCCCATGACTGGTCTTTTGTGACCATTTTGGGTTCACCTGGGGTGTAGCCCTGGCTGGGCTCTTGTGCTGCCCAAGGTGGATCCATTGAGGCCTTTTAATAAATCCCTGCTTTATTCTTTAGCTCTGTCCAGTCTCTGTTCTAGGTCAGCCTGCACAGGGCATCAGAAGCAGCTGCCTGTCTCCCAGCCCAACTGGGATGTTGATCAGAGACAGATTTCCTGAGGCTCCTTCCCTGGGCACAGCCTGACAGGCACACCAGCTCCCACACAGGACCACTGCGCTGCATGTGACAGGGAACCTCAGCTTCCAATCTCATCTGTCTGAAGTTTATCTTTGCAGGATTCAACTCCCCACCAAGAGGCACCCTCAGGGCTGTAACCCTTGAACCATCTCCCTCAGCTCAGCCCCGACCCAGAGCCTGCCATAAAGCACCTGGCCCAGTTCCTCCTGTGCCTCAGTCCCAGTGGGACAGCAGCCCCTGGAAAAGCAGGACAGGCCAAGCCACAGCCAGCTGTGCAGCTGCCCATGGATGCTTTGAAGGGCTCTAGAAATCCCACCTACTGAAACCACAGGGCTCGCACAGCCATGCTGGGAAAGCGCCTAAAACCACAGCAGGAACCCTTCTCCAGCTCTGCTGAGCACCCATGGCAGCCCAACAGAGCTGCCCTGCTCCCCCACGCCCTCGCTAAGGCTGGGGCTAAGAGCCAGCACAGAGATCCCAGCACTGATGGCAGAGTCAGACATGGAATTGTTATGGCTGGAAAAGATCTCCTGGATCAATGAGTCCAACCACTCCCCCAGCACTGCCAAGGCTACCACTGAACCATGTCCTTAAGCACCAAATCCACACAGCTTCTAAATCCTTGCAAGGATGGTGACTCTGCCCTGGGCAGCTGTGCCAGTGTCTGACCACCCTTTCCACGGAGAAATTCTCCCAATATCCAACCTAAACCTCTCCTGGCACAGCTTGAGGCCATTTCCCCTTGTCCTGTCCCTGTTCCCTGGGAGCACAGCCCAACCCCCCGGCTGTCCCCTCCTGTCAGGAGCTGTGCAGAGCCACAAGGTCCCCCTGAGCCTCCTTTTCTCCAGGCTGAGCCCCTTCCCCAGCTCAATTCCCTTCCCTGGGCACGCCCCAGCCCATCCGTGTCCTGCTCGACCAGAACTGCCCCTAGGGCTGGAGCTGCCCCAGCAGTGCCAGCAGAGGGCACGGCCCCTGTCCCGCCTGAGCCTGCCCTGGCCCAGCCTGAGGCCGTTCCCTCTCCTCCTGTCCCTGTTCCCTGGAGCACAGCCCGACCCCCCCGGCTGTCCCCTCCTGTCAGGAGTTGTGCAGAGCCACAAGGTCCCCCTGAGCCTCCTTTTCTCCAGGCTGAGCCCCTTTCCAGCTCCCTCAGCCCCTCCTGGTGCTCCAGCCCCTTCCCCAGCTCCGTTCCCTTCCCTGGGCACGCCCCAGCCCCTCAGTGTCCTGCTTGCCCAGAACTGCCCCTAGGGCTGGAGCTGCCCCAGCAGTGCCAGCAGAGGGCACGGCCCCTGTCCCGCTCCTGCTGTCACTGCAGCGCTGCCACAAAGAGCCGCGCGCCCCCGGGGCCCTGGGCCCGCTGAGGCCTTTCCGGGGGCCCGCGATGCTGCGGCGTGACCCGCACAGCCCCGGGCACCGAGCGGCGCGGAGGGACCCGGTCCGGCCCGGTCCGGCCCGGTCCGGCTCGGCTCCCTGGCCGCGGAGGCAGCGGCTCCACCGAGGACGGGCACCGGAGCCCGGCTGTCCCGGCAGCTGAGGCCCGCCGGACAGGACAGGGCCGGGCCGGGCCAGGCCAGGCCACGTCGCTTGGGTCGCACAACCCCGGCCCGCCCTCAGCCAAACCCCAGCCCCAGCTGCCACCTCCGGCCGCTCCCCCGAGCCCCCGGCCCACCTGCCCGGCCCGGCCCGGCCCGCGGCGCTCTGACCTACTTTCCACTCCCGGGACATAAACAATCCGCTCCCGGCACCGCCTCCGGGCGCTCATTGGCTGCGGCCGCGCAGCGCCCTATCGCCGTTGGCTGAGCTCTCTGTCACTCACGGGCGGAGGGGGACGAAGGGGGCGGGGTCTGAGAGAGCCCGGTACTATTGGCTGCCCAGTGTGCCAATCGCCAGAGAGCGGCGCCATTGGGCGGCGGCTCGCGAAGGGAAAGCACTAAGCCCATTGGCTGGTGCGAAGGGAGCACGAGAAGTGGATTGGCTGCAAAGCATTGGAGGGCGGGTTCTCCGGTGAAAGTGTGGCTTGCGATGGGACACAGCACCTGTCAGTCTAAGGGGGCGGGGCCGTGGGCCGGCGGAAGACGGAAGCGGGTGATGCGGGGAGGAAACATGGAGGAGACGGCCGGGGGTGAGCGGCGGAGAGGCCGCGGCCTGGGGGAACCGGGATCTGGAGTGTTGGTCTGGGGGGGCCCTGCCCATCTCTCGAGGGAGGTCCCAGCCGAATGATCGGGCCTAGCGGGGGGTCAGGACCCGGTTCCGCGGAGTTCCGAGGTGCTCGGGCCGAGCCGGTGTCGCGGTGTTCGGCCCGACTCCTGGTGAGGGGCGCTCCGGGCCGGGCCGGGCTCCCGTAGGCGGCGGGCACCGCTGATCGGGAGTGACGCAGAGCCTTGCCAGAAGCCCGGGCCCGGCTCCCCCGGGCCGCCGCTGTCACCGGGCGGTATGCCGGGAGCAGCTCGCTGCGGGGCCCCGTCTGCCCGTCCCCGGGCCCGTTCTCCCCTCTCCCCGCTGTGGGGCCCGTGGCCTTTACCGTCGGCGGAGGTGCGGATGAGCTCTGCCATGGTGCGTGCGGGCTCCATGCCGCTGCGCTGCCGGGCCAGCCCCGGCGCGTCGAGTCCGTGCCCGGTCGGGTCGGGGCGCCCGGAACGCGGCCCCGGTGGGCCGGTGGCGTTCGCCGGCTGTGGCTGGAGCGGCCCGGCCGCCCCCTGTGCTGTCCCAGGCCGGGAACTCCGGTACCGAGCGCTGCCTGCTGCGGGAGCTGAGCCCCAAGCAGAGCCGGGAGCGCTGACAGCACAGCAGGGAACGCAGGGAGGGCTGGAGAGGAGCGCGGGGCCGGCAGGAAGCGACTGGTGTGGCACGGAGGAAGGAAACGCCAAGGGCCTGAGCTCACCGTCAGCCTCGGGCCATGGCCCGGCTGAGCCTCACGAGCCCCGTGTTTATTGCTCTGCTGCCCGGTTTCCACTTAGGTCATCGGGACCAGCCTTTGCTCCCCACACACGGTGTTTATTGCCATTGTTCTCACTGTCCCGGCTGTGATGACAAAAACCTGTGGCACCTCCAGCTCTTCTTTGCCACTGCCTTACACTGAGGGCAGAGCGCAGCTCCTCCCGAGGAGGATCCTGGGACAGGGAACGGCTGGAGCTGTGTCGGGGGAGGGTCAGGTTGGATATCAAGAAAAGTTCTTCCCCCAGAGGTGCTGGGCACTGCCCAGGCTCCCCAGGGAATGGGCACAGCCTCGAGGCTGCCAGAGCTCCAGGGGTGCTTGGACAATGAACTCAGGATGCCCAGGCTGGGATTGTTGGGGGTCTGTGCAGAGCCAGGGGCTGCCCTGGATGATCCCTGGGTCCCTCCCCACTGAGGATATTCCATGACTCTGTGGTACACTTGCAGAGAGAGCCAACCTGGCCGGGGTGCGGCACATCCTGCTGGTGCTGTCGGGGAAGGGCGGCGTTGGGAAGAGCACCCTCTCCACCGAGCTGGCCCTGGCGCTGCGGCACGCTGGGAAGAGGGTGAGTGAGCCTTTGGGCTGCTGGGCTCTGCCCTTTCCCCTCCTGCCCTCAGCTGGGCTGGATTTTGGCCACCCTTTCCATGTGGATGTCCTTGGTGGGCAGTGTGTGGATTCTCTGTGAAAATGCAATTTGATCCAGTTCAGGTACTGCAGTTCATTTCTCCTTTGTCTATTTTATTAAATCACGCAATATTTATTGTTGAAATTGGCACTGGGACGTGAGTTTGCTGCTTTGTGGTGTCACTCCCTCTGTGGGGTGAAGTGGGTGAGCTCAAGGACTCTTAAAATGGGGATGAAAAGGAAATGTGTGGGCAGGAGACAGACTGAATTCCCTGAGGGCCTTTTTAAAGGCTCTGTGCAGCCTGTGCCACTTGGGTTCTGGCATAAAGCACTTGGAAACACCCAGGGGATGCTCCTTGGGGAGCAGGAGGTCAGGAGGGATATGAAATTTAAGGCATTTGTGTTCCAAATGTGGCTCTTGTGTATCGGATCCAGGGCGCCCCCCACAAGGGGAGGAATGATGCATCTGACTCCATCTTACCAGAAGGCTAATTAATTACTTTATTATACTATATTATTCTATATCGTATTATACTAATAACATTACATCTAAACTGAATCTGCCAAGCATTCAACTCTGCACACAACTGCACAGACTCTCGTGACTGTCAGCCCTGATAGGAAACAAAACACCATCACTGTGGGTAAACAATCTCCATATTGCGTTCTGCTTTGGCACAACACAGGCACAGCAAATAAGATAAGAATTATGTTTTCTTTCTCTGATGTTCAGAGAATGTGAAACCCAGAAATATTCTTGGGAAGGATGGTGCCTTTTCTCTGTCAAGAGAAATGAGGTGACAGTTGTGGAAGCGCTGCGAGCAGCCCAAATCCGGGTGGCCGGGGGCTCCCGAGCCCACCCTGAGGGGCTGTGCCTGTCCCCAGGTGGGGATCCTGGACGTGGACCTGTGTGGGCCCAGCATCCCGCGCATGCTGAGGGTGCAGGACAGCGCCGTGCACCAGTGTGACAGCGGCTGGGTCCCCGTCTTCGTGGGCCAGGACAAGGCCATCGCCCTCATGTCCATCGGCTTCCTGCTGGAGCGGCCGGACGACGCCGTGGTGTGGAGGGGACCCAAGAAAAACGGTAACGCCGGGGCTTGCTGCTGGGAGCCTCCTGTGAGCCCTCCTGGAGGTGCTGCTGCCTCCTGGAGAGGTTATTCCTTGGGGGAACGAAGCTCCTGTTCCGCAAGGATGGGTTGAAGTCACTCAGATGGGGACAGTGCAGCACACGATGTGCTGACAGCCTTGTCCCCTCTCCCCGTCCCACGGCTCCCAAGCCGCCTGCTGAAACCCGTTGTGGTTTGGGGTTTTTTTATCTGCCCCTTTTATTTCCATAGCTTTGATCAAACAGTTTGTCACCGACGTGGCCTGGGGGGAGCTGGACTTCCTCATCGTGGACACGCCGCCGGGCACGTCTGATGAGCACATCTCCACCGTGGAGGCCTTGAGGCCCTACCAGCTGCTCGGGGCAGTCCTGGTCACAACACCTCAGGTGGGACACGGGGCTGCGATTCCTGCAGGCAGCATGTTTAGAGGGGGGAAAATGCACCCCAGGTTTGCCCAGGGCTGACTGTGGATGCTTGTTCTGCACGTGTGCTCTGGAGGCAGAGTCGGCGTGGCCAGAGGGATCCCCAATTGCTGCTGTTCCCCTCAGGCTGTGTCCGTGGGGGATGTGAGGCGGGAGCTGACGTTCTGTAGGAAGGCAGGACTGCGAATCCTCGGCATCGTGGAGAACATGAGCGGCTTCGTGTGCCCCCACTGCTCCGTGAGCCCTCCTGACCTTCTTGTGCAGCCTTGGGGCTGCTCTGGGCCCTTCCTTGTGGTGGTGGGGTGGAGAATTGGGAAATGCCATGAGGGTGATGCTATGAGCCAGGGAGGGGAACACTGCCAGCCTTGGGCTCTGCTGTCGTGAGGAGAGGGAGAGGGCAGGGCACAGGGCATGCCTGGGGCGGCAGGGTGGAGGTGAGCTGGCCCTGCTCAGGGCCTGGCAGCTCCTGCCCTGTCACACAGGGCTCTGGCCTTCCTGACTCACTGCTCTTCCTCCCTCAGGAATGCACAAACATCTTCTCCAAAGGGGGAGGCGAGGAGCTGGCCAAGCACGCCGGGGTGCCCTTCCTGGGTGAGTGGCCTCTGCAGCAGAGCTCTGCTCAGGGCTGCCCTCGTGGTGCTCTGGGAGGGCTGAGCACAGAGAAGGAGCATCACAGGGGCAGGTGGGCTGGGCTGTGAACCCCATGCACCTGGGCAGAGCTGAGGTTTGTGCTTTCTCTGCCATCCAGACTCCTCACAGTGGGCCCCTGGCCCTGCTGGGGCAGAGGTAGTGATGCCAGCAGCCTTCTCTGACTGCTGACATCATGGTGACAGTGTAAACAGGCCTGGAGATCCATGAGAACCATGTTGGAATGTCTGGAGCCTTCCTGAGAAAGGGGGCTGAGGGCTGAACCCTGTCCCTGGACAGGGCTGGAATCAGGTGGGAGAGCCTCTCTCATGAAGCAGCAGGGTGGGGTGGGGTCTTGGAACCAGAGAAAGTGGCTGGAGGTGAGAATTATCTCCTGCAGAGCCCAGGGAGGGCAGTGGGGGCTCTTCCCTGCCACTTGCCCTGGAGTTGAGTGTGTTTTATCCCTGGCTGCAGACCTGGGCCCTAAAGGGAGCGAGCTCTCACTCTCCCTCCCCTGTCCCACAGGCTGCGTCCCCCTGGACCCCCAGCTCAGCCAGAGCTTGGAAGAAGGCAGAGACTTCATCCAAGAATTTCCCAAGAGCTCTGCCTTCCCTGCCTTGACTCACATTGCCCAGCAGATCTTGGATACATCGCAGAGGAGCTCCTGAGGGAGGTGTGGAGCTGGACTGGTGCCAGACTGGCAGCCCCAGCAGCGGGAAGGGGATGCAGGAACTGTTCAACTGTAACTGGGGTGTGAGGGGGGGAGCACAGATTCCTGCTGCTGCTGGCAGTCCCAGAGGGAAGAAGCCACATCCCCTCATACTCAAAGAGACTCTGGAGCTGCAGTGTCCAGTGCTGTTCTTCCCTGAGCATTTCCACATGGCTCTGATCACCTGGATCATGGCTCCATGTGCTGCTGCCTTCTCCTGCTGCCCCTGCCTGATGGATCACACAGGGCTTGCTTCAGTGGCTGGCTCATGCTGGGTGCTCCCATGTGGAGCCAGGCCAGGCCCCTGAGCTGGGAATTCTCGGCTGGCTGGTTCCTGATGGGCCATGAGGGCACAGCACAGCGTGGGCTGGGCTGAGGAGACACCTTTGGGAGCTGTCTGGGAGCTGCATCCCATCGTGCTGGGGAGGAGCCCTCAGGCCTGCTGGGCTTCTGTGACTCAGGAATATTTTTCAAGGTTCCAGGAAGTAAACCCTTTTCTTAAAATGCAGGTCTGCAAAACTTCTGTTTTTCCATGGCTTCAGGCCTCTGAGTCTTGGCCTTTCACATACATCAAGGTGCTTCCTGCTGTTCCCTGGTTTCCTTGCTGGAATTCAGCTAAATCTCTCCTATAACAGCATCAGGATCCAGCCTGTCCCTGTGAGCCAGCCCTGGCAGCCCTTCATGGAGCTGTTCTCCAGCCCCAGCCTGGGGCTCCTCTGTGTCTCCACGTGGTTCCTGCCTCTTCCACTTCCCAGTGTCCTGTTCCCTGCACCTCTTCCCATGGACTGCTGCTCCCATGGGAGCTGCCCTCCTCTTGCAGGCTTGAGTTAAGCTGGGGAAGCAGTGAAGGTGGTGGCCTTGCATCTCCTCTCCCTCCCTCCCGGACTCTGAGCTGCTCCTGCCTGCGTCCCTCTCTGCCTTTGGGATTCCCCCTCACTGTGAGGTTTTGGGAAGGCAGGGAAATCCTGGATTTCCACAAATGAGACTGGATTCCAGCAGGCAGGGGCAGCACCCAGCCCTGCTCCCACTGCACAAGGACCAACACCCAAGCAGGTTTCCCCTCATGCAATTTTCCAGGAAAATTTTGTCTGACCTTTGGACACTTATCTGGGTTATCTGGGATTTGGAGAGCTGGGCAGCAGCTGGAATCTGTCAGGGCTGTTGGCTTCTGTGGGATAGCTGGGCATTTCTTGCTCCCTCCCTGGGAACAAGCCACCCCCCACAAAAGGCTTGCAGGAAATGCTGGGAGCTCCCTGGGATCCTGAATCTCTCACCCTGAGGGGTTCTGGGGAGAAATCCCAACCATGGGCAGCATGAGCTTTGGAAAAAACATAACTTACAAGGTGGGTTGCAATAGCTCCAAAGGTTTATTTGTCTGCTGCCATTTATCAGGTGAGCAACCAGTGCCTTTCTGTGCCCTGCCTACACCTGCTGCTGCAAGGAATCATTGCAGCAAGTCCTCTGCCCCTTCCCTAAGCTCGGGGGGGCTTTTAGGATTTCTCCACTGCTCCATGGCAGGAAAACACTGTTTTGTCTCATAAAAGTCCTGGCCTGGGCAGGGCTGCCCTTTGCTGTGGCTGCAGGGCTGGGTGTGCAGCATTCCCCCATCCAGAGATTCTCTTGCTGGGAGCTGGGAGCAACCATGCTCTGCCCTGGGGGCTGCTATTTAAATATTAAAGGACCGAAATACTCAGTTTGAAGCCCAGGGGGCTGGTGCCCATCCAGCATCTTCTGAGCAAGGTGGCTGCTGGGCTGGAGGCGGTGGCAAATCCGTGCTCTGGCTGGGGTGGCCGCAGGGCCGGCATGAGGGTCCCTGGGAGGGCCAGCCCAGCTCAGCAGTGAGCAAAGCTCTCCTCGGCAGTGTCACGCAGGTCCAGCCCCGCCAGGCCCGGGGGGTGCAGGCAGGTGAGGTTGTTGTAGGTGTAGATGGGGACGTGGCTGTCGTCCCCCTCGGCCACCGACTGCACGAAGCGCGGCACCACGGCCGGGTGCTGCAGGGAGAAGTCCCGCAGGCCCTTCAGGGAGCAGTTGCAGTGCCAGTTGTTGCCCCCCAGCCACAGCTGCTCCAGGGCGAAGGGGGGGCGCAGGAATGCCACCGAGAAGGTCTCCAGGGAGTTGTTGCTCAGGCTCAGGTACCGCAGGTTGGCCAGCGGGGAGATGACGCTGTTGTCCAGTGTCTCCAGCTGGTTGTGGGAGAGGTCGAGCCAGAAGAGTCTCTGGAGCGGGCTGAAGGTGTCCTGGGCGATCTCCAGGAGCTGGTTGGAGGAGAGGAAGAGGTACTCCAGGTTGCTCAGCCCCGTGAAGAGCCGGGGCGAGAGGTGGCTCAGCCTGTTGTGCTTGAGGTCGAGCTCCAGGAGCTCGTGCAGGTCGCTGAAGCTCTGGTCCTCGATGACAGAGATGCTGTTGTGCTGCAGGAAGAGCCGCCGCAGGCTGGAGAGCCCGGAGAAGGTGTTGGCCCGGATCCTGCCCACGCAGCTGTGCTCCAGGTGGAGGCTGTGCAGCCTGGTGACCCCCTTGAAGACAAAGTCAGGCAGGACCTTGATGCAGTTGGCAGACAAGTGCATCACGGCCACGTTGTGCAGCCCCAGGAAGGCCCCGGCCCTGATGTCCTGCAGCTGGTTGTTGTTGAGGCTCAGCACCTCCAGCTGGCCCAGCCCCTCGAAGCTCCTTTCCGCCAGGCCCCGGATCCGGTTGTGCCCCAGCTGCAGCTCCTCCAGGAACTGGAGGTCCTTGAAGGTCCTGGGCCTCAGGCTGGTGATGGAGTTGGTGGACAGGCGCAGGACGTGCAGGCTCAGGAGGCCCAGGAAGGTGTCCTCGTAGAGCGAGACCAGGCGGTTGTGGGACAGGTCCAGCCACCGCAGGGACTTCATGCCCATGAAGGCGCGGGGGGCGATGGCGTTGATCTGGTTGTGGTTCAGGTACAGCTTCTGCAGCTTCTGCAGCTTGACGAAGACGTTGATCTTGATGCCCTTGAGCGCGTTCCCACTCAGGTCCAGCTCCTTCAGCTCTGTGAGGCTGCAGAAGAGCTGGTGCTGGAGGTAGGGCAGCTTGTTGCCAGCCAGGATCAGCTCCCTCAGGTTGGGCAGGTCGTGGAACACCTTGTCGGGCAGCACCACCAGCGAGTTCCAGCCCAGGTTCAGGTACCAGAGGTTGGAGAGCCCGGCAAAGAGCCCTTCCTCCACCTTGCTGAAGTGGTTGTTGTTGAGGCTGAGGGACACGAGGTTCTGCGTGTGCAGGAAGGTGTGCGGGGCCAGGTGCCTGAGGCGGTTGCGCTCCAGGTGCAGGTGGTAGAGGCTGCGCAGCCCGTGGAAGGCGTGCTGCTCCACGGAGCCCAGCTGGCTGCTCTGCAGGTCCAGGAAGTCCAGGGCTGACAGATTCCTGAAGGCGGCGGCCGGCAGCAGCGTGAAGTTGTTGCCGTCCAGCCACAGGGCTTTGGCGTTGGGGGGCACGTCCTCGGGCAGGCGGCTCAGGTTGCGGCCGCTGCAGAAGACGTTCAGCTCCTCGCTGTAATCGTCCAGGCTGCAGGCGCAGGGGCTGGGGCAGCGCGGGCCCTCCCCGTCCCCCGGCTCCTTCGGGGGGTCCCCCCCGGGGGGCTGGGAGGCGGCAGCCAGCAGCAGGGCCAGGGGGAGCAGGAGGGGGATGCCTGCTGGGGGTGGAGGAGAGGGGACAGCGTCAGTGCCGGACTGTGGCTGCTCTGGGGGACACCCTTGGGACCCCTTGGGCGGGTGCCCGCACCGCCGGGGCTCGGGGGGCAGGAAGGGGTGAGTCCCGGCCCGCTGCACACACGGGACAGCTGCGGGAGTTTTCAGAGGCTGAATTCCTTGGGAAATGGTCCAAGATCACAGCTCTGACCCCTCGGGTGCAGGGACCCCCCGAAATTCATCTCCATATTGCAGCGGCAGCTTCTCCCTCTCCTGGGGAAAGGCCCCCAGACCCCTCTCCTCCTTCCTCCCCGGCTGCCCCCTGTGAGTCGCTGGGCACTGAAGGGTCCCAGTCCCACGGTCCCTGCCCATCCCTGCACTTCCCATCCAGGTGTGGGCTCTGCCCTGCAGTGCCTGCAGCCCCCCAGGCAGCTCGGGGTCCCCCAAAATGTCTTATGAGCAGTGGAGGAGGAGCAGAGTAAAGGGTGACTGGAGCCCGGGCAGAGCCCGAGCGTGTCCCCCCGCTCCCTGCGTGTCCCCCCAGCCTGGCCCAGGGCAGTTCCAGCCTCACCTTTGCCTGCGCTCATGGCGGCGGGCAGGGCAGGGCAGGGCTCCCGCTCCCGCTCCGCTCTCCGGCCCCTCCGACTGCGCAGGGATGGATGGAGCAACCACCTTGACGCCTGTCCAGCCACCCGCCCGGCCGGGCTTAACCCCACTGCTGCTGGCCCGGCCGTGGCTGAGCCCCGGGGAAACCCTGGCCAGGGCAGTGGCACCGGGACGGGCTCCTCGGGACTGCCCTTGGGGCAACTCGGGACAAGGGCACGCAACGAGATGTCCCAGAACCTGATGGGGGTCCTGCAGAGGAGGGTCCTGCCAGAGATGGGGTCTGTGTGGGCTTTGAGCGTGGAGGGAGGAATGGGACAACCTCACAGGGTGTCCCAGCTCAGCATGCCCTGAGCTCCTGGAGGGTGCTGAGCAGCAGCACTGACCCTTCCCTGCCCTGCTCTGCCCTGGGTAAGCCCTGGCACTGGGTCCTCACTTTCCATCAGGACACAAAAACCACACACTGGGGCTTGGAGCATCCACAGGACACAAGGATTAAAGGTTTGGGGATCAGCCTTAGTACACCTGAGGGCTTGTGGTGATGCAAGTGGGAAATTAGTTGGGAAAAGGGAAAGAAGTCTCTTAGTGTGGTACTAAAAACCTCAGGGCAGAACCCTCAGCCCCTCCTGGGCATTTTCCCATTTTCCCTCCTGTCTTGCCTTGTGAGTGGGAATGGTGCTGGGAGCTCCACACCCTGCTCTGCCCAGTGCTTCTGTGCCAAAGGAAACTGAGAGCACAGCCAGGGTCCCCCTGGTGGGGTGGTGGCTCTGGGGGTCCCCTGCTCCTCTGCCAGCCCCCAGACAGTGGGATGAGGGCGGGTGATGCTCCAGGGCTGGCAGATCACACTCTGCTCCTGGCAGCTCATCAAAACCACGCTGGGGAGGCCGCTGACCCCATTCTGTGTCCCAGGTTATTTCCCCACCAGGCTCCAACACAGGCTCTGTGGAATCTTTTACCAGTTTCCAGGAAAGAAATAGAAAGAAAAAGCCCCAGCAAGAGGAGCCCTGTGGCCAGATAGCAAAGCCATGGTTGAACCTTCCCCTGTCCCCTCCTCCCTGGAGCTGCACCAGGCTGGCACCACTGGCAGCCACAGCTCCAGGGCAGCAATCTCTGCCCTGCAGTCGCTCTTCCCAGCCCTGCTTCCCCCAGGCTGCTCTGGAAGGAGCAGGGATTCTCTCCCCACCATTCCCACACCACGGGCACCCCACCACGCTCCCACCTTGCCCCTTCCCCTGGGAGCCTGGCACTTCCCCAGCTCCCAGGCCACACCTCAGCTCCTCACCAGGCATTGCCATGCCCATGGAAAGAAGAGGAGTTGGAGAGAGACATCCAGGCTCCAGCCTTGCCACCCAACTTTCCCACAGGCTCTGCTTTCCCTCTTCCCTTTTGGCCCCAAGTGGAATCCT